TGAGAATGGAGGCAATATGAATATTAGAAATCTTAACCTAATAGAACCTTACTGCCTATAGGAGTTAAAGTCCTCAAGCCAGATCATATCCCCATTTAATAGATAGATGGAAATATAATATCCCACATCTTCTCCTAATAATAGAGTTAATTGGAAGCAGGTAGGAGGAGACAGAAGGACAATTGGGGATTTTGTTTTGGAGTCCCTGAAATGGCATACATGAAGGACAGCAGCTATACTGAAATAATAAAAGGACATAATGAGAAGGTCACAGTGGGATTGACTTGAAAGAGGTTAAGTAGAGAATGGAGTAAAGGTGATGAGAATAAATAGAGACACAGTGGTAGATACAAACCTTGAAATAACTTCAGATCTTTGGTGAATTCTTGCTTCATACTTTTTTATTTTTATATGATTTAACCCTTTTCTTTTTCTTGATCATAGAAATTTCGTAATAAAATTACTATTCCAGGCTAGAAACCTACAGAAATGATGGTAATGCATGAAAAATGAAATGAAGCAATCACTATTAATTGCAGTTATTCAGAATTATATGTCTATTTTAGTTCTAAAATGTTTTAGACTTTAAAATGCGCATCTCACCTCCTTGTTTTGCATACCATTACAAAAAAAGGAAAAATTAGGAACTTAGGATATCACAAACTCTTTTCTAAAGTTTTGCTAATTTCAAATTTCTATTTCCTCATAATCTTATTCCTAAACCTAAGGTTGGTTGGCTCATATATATTTTTCTCCATTGTTTCTCCTTCCCCCATCTCCTTATCAAGGGCCCTGGAGACCAGTGCCAAAACCAAGTCCACTTACTGGGAAAAGGTTGTGTTCTATGAACATAATTTTAGTGCCAAATGTTTTTAGTAGGAATTGATAAAAAGATACTATAAAAACCTCAGAGATAGAAGCTTATTTTACAGAATATCTCCTGACCATGATCCTAGGCTTTGGAGGGGAAAAAATGTATACTGGCATTGATGCGAAGGGAAATGACAAGAAAATTTTGTCATGGAATGGCTCTTTGGCATAATGCATAAAGTCCACTTTTTACTGTGTAAGCTGGGAGTATATATGAAGATCCAGGGTTTTTAATCTGGACTTAGTATTAATCCTTCTAAATGTAATTAACTTTCTGGCCAAATCCTCTCAGAAACCTCACAGTAAAGTGTTTCTCTTTAGAAATCTGCTGGGTCTACCACAGATCAAGACCAAATACCAATCATCTCTAGCTTCTTTATATGGATGGCATTGAATGATTGGGGGTAAAAAAGAGAAAATACCATCTGTCTGTAGGGTCCTAGATACAGGGATAACCCCCCTGACAACATCCTTGCCTATCAGACTCAGAGGGTGTACTTGGTTACAGTAGAGCATTTAATTCCATTGTCAACTATACTCATTGCTGGGCTCTTTCACAGTGAAGGGGTTATCTCAGAACAAGATGGGAGGGAATACCTAGTGGTGAATGCAGTATAAGGACCTGACAGAAGTCCAATAATTGAATCTCTCTCTTATTCAAAGCCAACATCTTACTTCTCCTTCACACAAATATCTCTGTTCCCTTTTTATCACCCGCCCTAGGGTGGGAGTAAAGGACACTCTCATCAGTCCCTTTTGAGTCTGCAAGACTTCATGGGAAAGTGAAATTGGGGAACAGTTGAGGGAGGAGGCATTTTAATGGTTATTTGTAAAGGCATTTTTATGGTCATATGGCACAGGTGGTTAAGGACTTGGGCTCTGGAATTACAATAAATGGCAGAGATGGATCTGAACCAATAATTGTCAGACTTTGGATGTGTTGCACAATCTAAGCCTCAGGTTCCTCTCCTTGAAAATGATACTAACTCCTTATGGGTTTGTTATAATCTACACTAATAAAAGAGAAAGATGCAAATTGACCGTACCTTCGCAACTCCCACCAGCCAATCAGAGGTGAGCATGCAAATTAACCCAACAAAGATGGTGGGTTAATTTGCATGCGAAGGTGCTGAGCTGCTGGGGTGGGGCGGAATGCAGGCGTTCCATACTGCCCCAGCTGCTCCAAGCCACTGGGCAGCATGAGAAGGCGGAAAGGCAGCTCTGGGCTGGAGTGAAGGCAGTGCCGGCAGCCAGGGGAAGGAAGTCCATTCTTGCACGAATCTTCATGTATCAGGCCTCTAGTCTATATATATAAAAAGCCAGTGACCTATCACTTGACACCCACTGTGGCCAGCAAACCAGCTTGATCAGGGGGTGGAGCCAGTGGCCAACCTCCCGCAGCCCCTCCCTCTGGCCAGGCCCACCCCGGTCATCCCCCCTACCCCAATAGAGGGTGGGACTGGCCGACCAATCTCCTGCAGCCCCACCCAACCCCATCCCAGATCGACCCCACCACCCCAATCAGGGGCAGGACCGGCCGGCCAACCACCCATGGCCTCTTCCCCAGGCTGCTGGCCCCGATCGGCAACACCCACCCCATTCGGGGGCAGGGCCAGCTGGCCCACTGTCCACAGCCCCTCACCATGGCTGGCCCCGCTCCCCCAACCCCAATCAGGGGTGGGGCCTGCTGGACAATCGCCCATGGCCCCTCCCTCCAGCCAGCCCAGCCCTGCTCGGGCCCCAATCAGGGCGGGCCAGCCGGCCAACCTCCAACCATCTCCTCCTCCCGACAGGCCCAGCCCCAATCCACCCCAATTGGGGCCGGGCCTGCTGGACCCCACCCATGCACGAATTCCTGTCCTGGGCCTCTAGTGATGTAATAAGATAATGAATCTAAAATGCCAGTGCCTGGCATAAAGAGAGAACAACTTGCCTCTTAAAAATAACAGTATTTTATTGTGCAGTAGAAGTCCCAGGGGAGAATGATAAGGCAGAAGAGTAGCTGGAACTAGTTCCTGGAAAAACCAGATAATGTCTGCAATTGTGCCTCAGTCAGGAATGTACCAGCCTCCACTCTGGAAAACTTTGTTCTTGGCTTCTCTGTAGAAAGCCATAGCAACAGAGCCAGCTTTCTTCTGTTCTCCTTGGCTGCCAGCTCATGTACACCTCTGGCTTTCCAATTAGTGATACGCATTCACATAACTAGTCTTGTGACAGTAAAAGGCTAAATACCTCTAAACAGTTCCTTGTATAGCAAATAGAAAAATTATAGTACAGATTTAGTTGTGAAAATATGTCATTGATTCAGGGTTATGTTTTTGTTTGCACAATAGGATTTAGAGTAAAAATAAAATCAAAGTGTTATAGAAGATAGCACTTCTGACCAAATCCAGTCCACTTTAATTATTTCTTAGTCCATTTCAATATATAATTTAGTCTGATACAGGTTCAAAATCTCCCCTGGGAGTTTTCTTATCACCCCCTTCCTTATGTTAGGTTTAAAACTGCAGTAGGGGATGAATGGGTTTTTATAAGATTGCCATCATGGCAGTCATGTGGGAAAGCACTGTCTCCTGCTTCCTGGTATCTTATCTGGCCTCTGACCCCAGACACATCTTGTGCTGTAATTTGGTGCTTCTTTACATTGTTACCTGTGGGAAATGACCTCCTCCTACTAGATTCTCAGGTACTGTTCACTGAACAGATTGCTGTCACATCCCCACAAGTCCGTGGCAGTGCCCACTCTGAATCTTTCTAATGCTCATACCTTCATTCCAGTTATAGGACCCTGTGCTAACTGACCAGAATGATCACTCTTACTCTGTAATGTTCAATTGTGAGAGTTTGTGTAAGGAGACAAAAGCAGACAGATAAGTGAAATTCTTTTTTAGGATATGCTAGAAGAAGAAATAGTGGATTTTCTTTTTTTTTTCTTTTTTTATTTAAGTACTTGGAGTCTTGAACTGTCATGCAAGAACTGACATTGGAGTGCAAGAAAGAACTCACCATTTCAGAAAACAACTCCAAAATCTCAGTGGTTTACATAAAAAAACAAAAAACCTTCTTTGCTCATGTGATATGAACACTGTGGGCCAGCTGTGGCTGTGTTCCAGGCAGTGAGTTAGACTCATAAGTGCTCTGTGTATCTTCTCAATCATGGGTCTAGGTTGAAGGAAAAACTCTGTTGGGAAACATACTCATTTTTGTAGCAGAGGTGAAAAGCACTGAGCCAAGCTACACAAACACATTTTAAAGTTTCTGATTATTATGACACATTTCAAGGCCACTCAAAGTTTATTGGCCAAAGAAAGCCATAGGAAGAATTAACATTCCTAGAGTAAGAAAATTCCCCTTCAGGGAGAAAGGAACAGGATAGTAAATATCTGTGAACAATAATCATCTATCACAACTACATATTGTAATTATTTTCTTCTTGAGCTTCAGTAGTCTCATCTTTAAGAGGGCAATATATTTCCACAATCTATTCAGCTCTTCTATGCATTCATATAATAAATATTCGTAAGGATTTGGGAGACAAAAGGCATATGCATGTGAAAAGTAAGTTACCATAATATAAATTTTTATAAAGTGATATCCCAAGACTCCTTTGTTAATTGTGCGATAAGGAATTGCCCGTTACTATGGGTCAGAAAGGAACTGACTTAATAGAAGGAGTAAATCTCCTTAGAAAAGGAGCTGTCCAACTGTAAAACCACTACAAGAGTAGTAAGCTAAAGAGTGTCAGAGGCTGAAAACCACTTATCAAAAGAGATAAGGAATTATTTTCAGTACTATATGTGGTTTTAGCCTTTGGATAACAAAATTTGGGTTCAATTCTTCACTCATAGTCTGGATGAAGAGTTCACCCAGTCTCAGCCAATATTCCTACTATCTTTCACTGATATGACAATAGCACTTTGGAAGGCTTCTTGTTTTTTTAACCATCTGATGAGTCTATGAAAATAGGAAGGTCAAACTTCTGTTATCAGACAGACTGTGGGACACACCTGTTTTGATCTTATTGGTGAATCTGTGAGATTGGCACTTCGTTTTTCTTATCATTATTGAGAATTAACACACATAGAGAATGCAATTTTCCTACTTGAAATCTTTCATCTATGCTTCAATCCAGCACCCACTCAGTATTGGATTGGTGAGTAAGGAAAAAAGTATGCATCTACATAGCCTTTTTCCGGAATAGACTGAGCACATGATCACGAATCTGCTTGGTCTTGACCCCATAGATGATGGGGTTGATCATGGGTGGAAAAAGAAGATAGAAGATAGCAAGGAGTATGTGTACATGAGGGGCAGCTCGGCGAGCCACACGGTGCATGACTGATGAGATGACAACAGGTGTGTAGGTGGACAAGATGGCACCTATATGAGACACACATGTCCCAAAGGCCTTGTAACGGGCTTCCTGAGAGGCAAGCTGTAGAACTGCCTGAAGGATGAAGATGTAAGACAAAATAACAAAGAGCAGATCCAACACCACTATAAACATGGCCACTGCAATGCCATAGATATTGTTGAAGCGAGTGTCCCCGCAGGCCAGCCTTACCACAGCCATGTGCTCACAGTAGCAGTGGGCGATCATGGGTCCTCGGCAGTAGTGGAAGCGTCTGAGCAGAAAGGGGAGTGGAGTCATTAGTGTCACAGCCCGAGCCATAGCAGCTATACCAATCTTGGTGATAAGGGTCCTGGTCAGCACCGTGGTGTAGTGCAGTGGCTTGCAGATGGCCACATAGCGGTCAAAGGCCATGGCCAGCAGCACTGCTGACTCCATGATGGAAAAGGAGTGGAGAAAGAACATCTGGACCAGGCAGGCATAGAAGTTGATCTCTCGATCTTTAAACCAAAAAATAGCCAGCATTTTAGGAAGTGTTGTAGAAGAAAGGACAAGATCAATGGTTGCCAACATGGCCAGAAAGAGGTACATGGGCTCATGAAGGGCTGCATCAGCCCGGATAATGAAGAGGAGGGTGCCGTTGCCTAGCAAGGCCAGAGTATAGGCAAAGCAGAAAGGAATGGAGATCCAGACATGCAGGTGCTCCAAACCTGGAATTCCTACCAACAAGAAGACAGCTGGATGAGTTGAGGTAATATTGGAGGCTGACATGACTTCTGGAAATTTCCCTTGTCAGTTTTTGTGGGCCCCTTCACCTTCTATATATACCTTCTTGGGAGGATTAGCTCTTGTTCCCATTGCCAGACCTTAAATATAATCAGTTATTAGGCCTCATAGAAATGGAAAAGCATAATCCATATTTTATTACCTCAAGGAACTTTAAATTTCATTGAGTAGATAGAATATTAAAGATGATTAGAACTGATATCACAAGACAGCTTTTATAAAGGAATGAAGAGAAGGTAGTGTTTTCTGTGTTTGGGGTGTTTTCAGGAATACCCTGTTAAAAGAAGTAGAAATATGTTTAAACAAATGCATTTCTTTAGAACATACATTGGTACCAAACTACATGATAATCAAGCTAAGCTCACAACCACAAAAGCCAATTTCCTGTCCTAAAATCTCAGGTTTGAGTGCTTGTATAAGTTGAATAAAGCCTGCAATTTCTATTAATTGCACAGTTTGTATATTTTCTCTAGCACTACACTATTAGATAGGACTGCCACTAGCCACATGTAGCAATTTATATGTATTAAAATAAAATGGAAATTCAATACCTCAGTTATTCCTAGCACTGTATCAGTGCCGAAAGTCACATGTGACTAGTGCTACCATATTGGATTATTCAGATACAAAAGATTTCCATCATTGCAGAAAGTTCTACTAGAGAGAGCTACTCTCAGGTATATCTTCCAGGTACATTCCCCATCCACAAATTTCTGTAAATACAGCCCTACCTTAAACTTTCTAAGAAAATAAGGCTCCTCTTCTTCTGGTTCTCTTCCATCTAAATTCATGTTAAGCTCCCTATTCATGTGGCTCTCCGTCCAATCATCTTCTAGCTCCCTTATTTTCATTGCAGAACTCTCATGTTTAGCAAAGCTAATATCTGACTTCCATAACAAATGCCCTTTGTTAATCTTTCATCTTTCCCTCTTCTCTTATTGATTTTTCTCCTCTGTCAAATCTTTAAACTCTGGAGTTGCCCAGTTTTTACACAGCCACTTTTCTCTTATAGAATCCAGTTAATGTGGTTTTCATGAGCATTACATAAGATTATGTATTTAATGCAGATTGGGATAGCCACTGTGGAAAGCAGTATGAAGTTATATCAAAAAATTAAAAATAGCTCAACCGGCATGGCTCAGTGGTTGAGCATCAGCCTATGAATCAGGAGGTCATGGTTTGATTCCCAATCAGGGTACATGCCCGGTTTGGGGCCCAGTTCCCAGTGTGGGGCATGAAGGAGGCAGCTAATCAATAATTCTCTCTCATCATTGATGTTTCTAACTCTCCCCCTCCCTTCCTCTCTGAAATTAATAAAAGTATAAAAAAATAATAATTTTTAGAAGTGAGAGTGGAGATGGAGTGGGACTGAATGGAGGAAGAGTCAGCAAAAAAGACAGAGTGGGCAACCTATCAGAAAAGTTTCCAAAATGATGTGCTATCCTGATAGGTTATTGAAGGTAGTGGACTAAGGAGGAGGAAAAAATGACTAAACCAGATGCTACCAATAAGTCAAATAATTCCAAAACAAAGAATTGGGCTTGTATATAGAAGTGCAGTGGGTTGGAGACCTTGATAAGAAAAATTTTTGCTAGAGTAGATGAAGGCAAAGCCAGATTTGATGGAGTTCGGTGATAAAAATGAGAATTTGAAATTTGTTAACTTGGCTCAGGTTTCTGCAAAGGCAAACAGTAAAGAGGCCCTGGCAGCTGCAGAGGGAAGAGTGTGTGTGTGTGTGTGTGTGTGTTCAATTGTTTTTAAGAAGGAAAAGAAAAAGACATGTTATTAAACTGAAGAGAATTTATCCAGTAACAAAGGAAAACAAAATTTACAAGAGAAAGGAGAATATTGCTTCAGAAATGTTCTTAAATCATCCTCTCTAGTGTTCTACTTGTTTACCATGAATTTTGTTATCAGCTCCCAACATTATGACAATATGTTTCCATATCATATCTTCCCTCTTAGCCACAGACTAGTATATCCAACTCTCAATTTACTATCCTCATGTAACAGTCTCACAGTTATCTCAGCCTATCGTGCTTGAGGCAGGAATCTTAACTTCATCCCTCTATGCGCATTCCATACATCAGTACATAATATCCTCTCCAACTTGTTGTTCAACCCAGAATTATTACCTACCCTTACCTCCTGCACCATATTCAATCCACCAGCAGGTCCAATTGGGTCAGCCTCCACAGAAACTCTCAAAATTGCCTACTCCATTTCAATCACCGCAACACTTATTCAAGACACCATCGTGTCCCATTTGCTATAGGAACAAGACTTTTAAAATGTGTGCAGATCTCTGTCTTTGGGCTCCAATTTCTATCCTTCCACAAACACCGGCCTATTGTAAAATAAAGGGACTGCCTTATTCACTTCTGTAACTGCAGCTTCTAGCATACACATTGTGTTGAATATTTCACCAAATGAAGAATGAACTACCAAAGTTGAAAATGTCCTCTCACTGTGTTCAGATATCCCCAGCTGATCCAATAATAGGCTATCTTCCCATTTAACATGCAATTAGGAGATACGTTCTAAGAAACCCAACCAACCTTGGTGAAGCATCAGAATAAAATCTTCTCAATGGAAAGTATTTTTCCCTGTCTTGCACATCTTTTCCAGGAAAAAGAGCACTTTGGCTTTGTAGGAAACAGCAAGAACTTTTTTTTCCGCTGTTTTATCTTCAGTGCCAGGTACATAGCAGATAGTCTATAAATGACTGTTGCACCTTCACCCTCAAGAAATATGCATTTTTTCAACAAAATTGAACATATTTTATTTTACCTCTGAGTCTCTACATCTCCCTGACTTGTTCTCTCTACATACTAAACATAAGTAACCACCCTGTGACTGATCCATCCTTCTTCACCCAAACAAAAAGTTATCTATTCTATCAATTTCTTCCCCCAAACACAGGTTATCCAATAGAACATGACCCTTACTTCTGTTGAAGCTCATCAAAAATATACCCCTACCAGTCCTAACTGGTTTGGCTCAGTGGATAGAGCATTGGCCCACGGACTGAAGGGTCCTGGGTTCAATTCTGGTCAAGGGTATGTGCCTCAGTTGCAGACTCGATCCTTGGCCCTGGCCCGGGTGTGTGTGAGAGGTAACCAATCAATGTGTCTCATATCGATGCTTCTCTCTCTGTGTCTCTCTCCCTCCCTTCCACTCTCTCTCTAAAATTCAATGGAAAAATATCCTTGGGTGAGGATTAACCAAAAATAAATAAATAAATAAAATAAAATAAAATAAAATAAAATAAAATAAAATAAAATAAAAAATATATCCCTCTAGAATAAGGATCTCAGAAGAGGGGAATATATGGAACCAGTCTTTCTTACCAACCATCCAGAACATAGGAACCTGCTTTGCCGTGAATGCTTTATCCTGCCTGTACTATGTTTCTGAGGTCAAAATGTCCATACAAGATCAGAGGACTTGTCTATTTCTTTGTTTTTCCCCAAAGTGCTTAAATGGGTCTCCATGGACAGAGAGTACTCAACACTGGCATCTACTTTGTAGTCTACACTTCTATCATAAGAGGGTATCAGAAAGATAATCTGAATGAGTATGATCTAGAGATGGGAAAATAGTCACTCACCTAAGGTCCTTCAAGGATGTGGCTTGTGGAAGAACCAATAGGAAATGTATTTCTACCTCTCCCTGCATCTTCCTAGTTCAGGCCTCATTTTCTCTCTCCTGACTAATGCAGTAGCTTCCTAATTGCAACAGGGATACTAGTGGGGTGAGAGGAGAAATGATAGGTAAGAAGTGACAGGATCCAAGCTGTTATAATCAGCTAAAACTGCTTGGAGTTGAACCACAGTGTTTGGCATAGAAAGGAGGCAAAAATCCTCTGTAGTGGAGGGAGTGTCTGGAGTATGTAGACATAGCATTTGGGTTGGACTGTCAAGATTTATGCTTCTTCAATTGAAGAGCCAAAGTAGAGGCAATACAGAAATAGGGAGCAGGCAGGAAGCTGATGCCTAAGACTAGAACTGAGTGTCAGAGGTAATTGAGGTGCCCCCATCCTCTCCCATTCACCACACCTGTCACCTCTTTCCTGTTTCTGCTAGTCCAGTTCTGTCCATAGTCCAATGTAGCCTTCATCTTCCAGTGATAGACATTTGGGAAGGAGGGCGTTGGGAGGAGAACCACTGCCTTTATCCTCACAAACCTCGGCTCTTCTCCCAAAAGGATGTGGAAATAAACACTGCTGCATGTGAGAAGGGTCCTCAGAGGCTCATGGAAGACTCTGGCCTATTTTCTGGGGAACCACTCTGACGCAGAGTTCCCACCTCTGGGGGTCCTGCAGATTACATCCCCGCCTCCTTTGTGGTGCTAAGTCAGGCCTCCCAGGAACCAGCTGTGCTTAACACTCCAGAGACTTTGAGCACTTCAGTTAGAGACTGCGTGGGCCTTTGTCTTTGATATGTGTCTACTTTCCTCTACCCCTTCCTTGCAGTGTCTCCTAAGAAAGAGAACCTCATTAAGACAAAAACTGCAACCAACTCCTGTCTGATAATGACCCAGAAGGGCAGCAATTCCAGCTACTCTCTGTGTGTATTTGTATGTTGTTAATATTTACTGCTATTTTAAAGCACTCTACCTGTCCCAGCTATGCTCAAAAGAAACAAGCTAGAAGTTTGTTTTTATTTCTGAGTATTCTTTTCTTTCCATTTTATTTTGTACTAGATGCTCAGTGCACAAATTCATGCATGGGTGGTGTCTCTAAGTGTGGCCTGCAGGGATTGGGCCAAAACCAGCAGTCCAATGCCGCCTGTCGCTCCTACCTGCCGCTCCCGCTCATCCCGGCCCCACTGCACCTGCCGTGGGCTTACGCCCAAGTCAGTCCTGATAGGAAGAGGCCTGTGTCTGGTGCCCATCCTGGTGGGGGTAGAGGAGATCTAGACGGGATCAGCCCTTCAGGCAGGCGGTGGGACGCCTGTACTGGCCCAGGATCCCAATCCATCCCGCTGATGTTTGCGCCGGT